ATCCCCAATGGTGCTCTACTCCACTCTCGCTATCTGGCGTGCAAATCACCTCAATATAGCACTACGATGTGCAATCCGGGGTTTCAAACCCTCAGGATATCATTTACAATCATTACTCACCCCGAACCGGCTAAACATCTAGCTCGCTACGCCTTTGCCTCTCGAATCGGCCTCCACGCGCATCGAATCTATCCAAAAATAGAGCGAATACGTCACAATGTGCTAAGGGAGCAAAGCCCAAGCAAAAACAATCAACAACGGGCACAAATCCCGAAATTAGAAAAACCCGAGCCCCGGGCCCACTTCTCAAAACTCAGAAATTTTCACATCATTAGATTCCTTATCTTGCCACAAGTCTATGCATATAAAGAACATAGACTCGCGGCGAGATAAGGAATCTAATGATGTGAAAATTTCTGAGTTTTGAGAAGTGGGCTCGGGGCTCGGGTTTTTCTAATTTCGGGATTTGTGCCCGTTGTTGATTGTTTTCGCTTGGGCTTTGCTCCCTAGCACATTGTGACGTATTCGCTCTATTTTTGGATGGATTCGACGCGCGTGGAGGCCGATTCGAGAGGCAAAGGCGTCGCGAGCTAGATGTTTAGCCGGTTCGAGGTGAGTAATGATTGTAAATGATATCCTGAGGGTTTGAAACCCCGGATTGCACATCGTAGTGCTATATTGAGGTGATTTGCACGCCGGATAGCGAGCGTGGAGTAGAGCACCGTTGGGGATTGTGACTTGGTCCGTCTCGATTGATGATTTTACTGTGTAATTGATTGAAACTTATTTGTTATCATCATGACTTGAGCTGATTGCCATATTTGGGCTTCGTGCTAGCTATTTGAACCCTTTCGGATGGTTGTTGATATTTCCTCACTCTTTTTATTTTATACTTGAACTCAGCCATGTATTTTTTTCACTGTTTTCAAAACTCAGCCAAGTTTACTTGCTTTAACACTTGAAATGATATTTCCAATAATAATTTGGGCTGAGCATCATGTTTATTGTTGCCTGAGTGGCTTATGTGATTTTGTTGACTGAGTTAGGCCGAGGGCCTGTATTGTGAGGATAGTTTTAGATTGGGCTGCACGCCGCAGCAATATATATGGATCGGGCTGCACGCCGCAGCAGTATTATGCTTATACTGGTATGAGGCCAAGGGCCTAGATTTGATGCCACGAGATGGCTTGATATTGCGCTTGGGCCGTAAGGGGCCCCTCCCAGAGTCTGCACACCCCCAGTGAGCGCCGTCGACGATAAATGGATCGGGCTGCACGCCGCAGCGATATGTGGATCGGGCTGCACGCCGTAGCGGTACTAGTACTATTCTATGTGTTTACTTTATTTCATTTGTCTGCCTTTATCTGTTATCTGTGTTACTTCACGGGGTATCTACCTGATTGCCTGGCATTATCTGTTGAGTGAGTGTTGTTCCCGAGGGGCGGATTTCTGTGCTTATCTGCACTAATTGTTTTGCATTCATTCGCATAACCATTGAAAAAGTCATTTTCAAAAGAGGTTTGAACTGAGCTAAGATGTTCTCTAAAGATTTCACAGCTTCACTGTTTGTTTTTCTCAAGGGGTTTTATACTACTTCTATAGAGCATGATGATTTGCCTTGATTTCTTACTGCTCAGTTATTATTTACCTTTATTACTTACTGATTTGGAGTACTCACTTTACTCCCTGCACCTTGTGTGCAGATGCAGGTATTTATACACCCGGTGGCGGGTTTTGGCTGACCGGAGGCAGAGTTATCGGAGTTTAGCAAGGTGACTATCAGCGTTCGCAGCACCGCTTTTCTCCCTTTCGTTCATTAGTCCTATTCTGTATATTTCAGACCTCACAGTTGTATTCATACTTTAATAGATGCCCGTGACTTATGACACCCCGGTTTGGGCTGTGTCGGGTTGTACTTCCGCTAATTATTATCATTAAATCGTATTTAAACTGCTTATGAACTGTTCAATTGTTTTTAAAAGGATGAATTGGGTTTAGTTGGCTGGCCTTGTCCCCACGAGAGGCGCCATCACGACCGGGTCTGGGTTTGGGTGGTGACACCTACGTAGCATAGAAGAGTAACTCACAGATCATCTCAGAACACGAATAAGCTTAACAACAACCAAATGGCTCATCCCTCAACAATAACAATATGGAGCCAACCAATCCGACTCACTACAGAACCCACATCTATATTAGGCCTACCAATGAACCCCAAATCAACTCTCGTCACCTAAAATAGATAAATAACCCTCCGAAAGTACACAATGACTGAATCACAACACATACTATCCTCTGACTAGCTTTGGCCACATTTCAATAGTCTACAACCATGAAACAATCTGCTCCTGAGAACTCCCAGTCTCCAAATCCGTAGAACACATGAATCACCATATCTGATCTCAACTCCACCGCCTGAATGTCTAACACATCTCTCATACACGATTATCCCACGAGGAATACTTCTATAATTTTTCTGTGCCACGAAGCAAAATTTGGACACCAGTTGTCGATCAACTAGGAGAGTGCTGCAATACTAATGAAGTATCCATAAATCAAAACATATCCCCCCCTTATGAAATGTATACTCTCATCAAGCCATACCAAATAGTAATGTTATTTACCTAGTCATCTAAAACTGTCCATGTTGCCTAAGGACTCATGACCTCCCCTTCAAAACTGAACCGTGATCTTACACATGCAAATCTCGATCCTACACAACACACCGCATATACTATGCCATCATACAAAAAATACGGGAACTTCTTAATCCACTTCGAGTCACAAGCAACTACTCACTCAATTAACCAAGAACTTTCCATTTGATTTCATTCGGATAAAATCATTATACATCACATGCTCCTCACGCCAGTAGAAAATATATTCCTCGAACCGTGGTAGAAACTATTGAGATCTCTTCGAAACCTATTTGCACATAATTAAGCAATCAGAACTAAATCTCTCTAACTCAAACAAGCCATGCAGGTCACTAAAAACCCAAGAGCACAGCCACAAAACACCTGTAGAAACCTACCACATCATAAGCACCCAAAGAACCAATCATATTAATTACCATGCCGATCCAACCTACTACCATGCTGTCCTATTTCTCCGAGTTCCTTCTGAATTACCTTCAAATTGATACTTCTCCTCGCCATAATACCACAATCCTCAACCAAGACTCATCACACGAGACCTAGCATAAAACCACATCGCAATAAGGCTCATAAGCCGCTGAATGCTCTCTTAAGCACCCCAAAAGTACACAACCGAGATACCCAATCTGAAAAGACCTTCTGTGAATTTAAAGCTGTTCATTTTTACCTTCCTGATACTGAATGTAGAATCTAAAATGATATAGAAATACTACGAGTCTCAACACCATCCAATGTAACTCTCAGCTTCTAGCCATATACAAATCTGTAGCATTCTCAATTGCCACGTATAAATCTTGAATTCATTAGAACCATTCTCGAGAGTCATCCACTCTGCTCAAATCTCATTTAGACTGATCAAACGGACCAAACGACCTGTGCCCCATTAGCACTCCAACACCCAAGGAAGTAATCCCACCTTAATGTAACCAGATAAATTTCTACTCCACACACATTACATCCTTCACCAATAGCAACTCAAATCATTCCGTGATTCTCATATACCCATAAAGCCTACTACAACTCGTATCTAAATTTTTTTTTACTCAAGTCATTCTCGAACTCAATCTCTACAAGTCATAACGGATTCACCAGTATGCCTCAAACTGAAAGCAATACGACACATAGTGGAATCAACATGTCGATAGCAGGCTCCACCACTTGGCTCAAAGCCAAGAAATAAATCATATAATAACTTACAATACCCATACTCTATTGCGGCCAAAATCCTGCACTGAAATTTAACTTAATCCTTCATAAGCTCGTGTAACATAAACCATATAATACCTCAAATCGCACAAATATAATCCACTGGTAGAAAAGAAAGCCTCCACACAACATCATAAAATCACACATCTGTAGATTACCCCATAGGTTATAACCCACCTACTTCGCCTCAAACCGACATATCTCTATACCCTTCCACATTAACAACTACTACACAATCGCTTAATATTTCTGAGTCTGATCTCAATAATAAGATACGAGAATCTAGTTCGTTCCATAATTGAATCAACATGAAAGATCTTTAATACAGTCATAACTCGAGACTATGCGTCGCATCAAGACAGAAACCAAACACCCAATAATTCTTTCTACACCTCAATCAAACCTTTCTTGTCACATCCAAACCATATGAACACATCTCGCAGTCACATCATACTCATCATGTAGCCATCTAGCCACAAATTCCATTAATGGGGATACTACCAGACATATAAATCCAAAAGCACGTGCTCATACAATCAACATCTCTATGCTGAAGCTACAGTCAGAACTGGCCTCAAGTCCTCCAGACTGGCGCATCATCAACATACTGAATAAACAACCTCTATTGTTGTGCTTTTTCATTGCCCTTTCTTGCCTTTAGCTTGTCCATTCTTTGTTTCTCCAACTGCTTGCTAGTTATAGCAGCTTTACCATTCCATGTGAGCTTTGTTGGTGAGTAAGGAAGATTTTTTGGCTGACTCGCACTACTTGCATCTCCAACAAAGTTAATTATTCTTGTTCCACTTGATATTGGTTGTATCTGCCTCTGTCGGAGTCTAGACTTTACCTCTGAAATATTTCGTGGCCTTATAGATGGGTCTTCTTCAAAGCCTAGAATCTCAAAATCAGGATCTCTATTGTTGTTGAACTGCTGCATGTGCACCTTTGGTGCTGACATAGAAATATGTTGTCTAGCTTCACTTGCTTGACTAGTTTGACCGGACTGTGGTGCTGACAATGGTAGTTCTTCTACTGTTGCTATAGCTAGGGATCTGGGAACTTCATCACCTTCATCTTCATCAAGTAATGTTCTTTTCCTCTTCATTGGTTTTCCCCTTTGTTTGTCTGCTTTTTCTTCTATTGTTGATCACCCTTCGTTGCCTGTCCATATTCTCCATCCTTTGAAAACTAATAAGAAGATAAATAATTATAGCTATATAATAATTAATAAATAAAATGGCTGCTGATAAAGATACAAATATTACCTTGTTACAACCCCTTGCATTGTGTCCAGGTTCTCCACAGGTTGAACATGTCATAACCCTGTCTTTCCTAGGATTAGACCTTTCCCCTTACCTCTTTAATACCTCATTTTTATCTCTAGTTCTCTTTACTATAGGTCTGCCAGCCAACTTCACTAATAAGGGTGGATTTCTTTGCCTGTGATGGGTCTATTTTCTAGAACTTTTGCCCTGGAAATGGTTGTAACTTGTGTCTATAAGTTAGGAGATAAGCTTCCTCATTGTACCACTAGTGAATTCTATCCGATGGGTTGCCCATCTTGTATTGTATTGATCTGATGGCATGAGGACATGTGATTCCAATAAGGTCCCATGTCATGCAAGTGTGTTTTTTAGTTTTCAAGCTGACTATCAACTTGTTACTCTCTTCACTCACCTCATACCCATACTCACCATGGAAATCAATTGTACACTTGTGAGGAATCCGCAAGTATTCATTGTATAACTCTATTTCTTGTGGAATCCGTTGAGTAGGCCATGTCATTACATTAGATTCTTTTTTACTCAATATATTCATCACCTTTATTCTTATTTCTTGAAGCATCCCAATTATTAGCTTGTGTCTAGCATCTAAGATCCAAGAGTTGAAGGACTCATTTAGGTTGTTTTCTACCTTCTGGTTCTTGAACACTGTATCAAAGTAAGTCCTGCACCAACACTTGACAGGATAGTGCAGTAAATCCTTCACCCCTTCCTCAGATATCTCCCCCAATGTCTTCAAATGATCATTTAATTCCTCCTCATAGCTTCTCCATGCACACCACCAAACCAGCTTTGTCCTTTCTCCATACCCATGTCCCTCTTTGCTCCAATTGGATACTGTGTGTCTTACACAGTATCTATAGTGGGTATCGGGTAAGATAGATTGGATTGCATCAAGTAGACCCTACATGAGAAAGCCAAACAGAAAAGAAAAAAATCAGTCAACACATTTAAAAAGTGGCTGAAAACAAGTAAAGTGCCAATTGCTTTTTACCTTTTGCATGTCTGATATAAATGTGACCCCCTCTCCATTCTTGAGGTCTAAAGACTTCTGAAGCAAACTCAAGAATCAATTTCAGGCGAATTTTATTTCCTTATCTACAACAGTCCAAGCAAATGGATAAAAGTGGTTCATAGCATTTTGAGCTACAGCAACTAAGAGTTCACCTTTGGCTTTTTCTTCCAAAAAGGTCTCATCCAAGACAACAAAAGTTCTTAACCCTCCCTTAAACCCCTTCTTCATTGCTTCAAAGCAAATATACATCCTCAAAAATATTTTTTTGCCTTCCGCAAGGGCATCTTTAGAAATATTATTAATGATATCGCTTCCTACATTACTCTTCTTTATGGCATTGGCATAGGCATCAAGTTTATTATATTCATCAGTAAAGCTACCTTCCAGCTTCTCCAATATCATTCTCTTGGCTCTCTTGCACTTTGAAAATGAAGCATTGATTTTAAAAGTTTTTTTTGATCTGCCTTTATCTCTGTAATCTTATATTTTAAGAATTCCTGCAACTTTGAAATAGTGTGCAATGGTAGTAGCATCAATCCTTTGGTTATCAAATGTATGATTACACTCATGTTTAGTTTTTAGTGTCTTGAGCTTAACACCTAAATTCCTCTTATCATTAGAAATTAGGCAGACAAAAGGGCATTCATCATCCTCACATATGTATCTGACCATTATTGTGTCACTTTTAACTAGTGTTAAATCATAACCATTGGCAAGGGCATACAAGTTCATGAATTTCCTAGCTTCAGGTATATCTTTGAATGTCATGGACTTTTCTAAGTGCTTGTAATCAACCAAGCTATCAACAATTACCCTCTTTCTTTCTTTTTCTATTGCCCCAACCTATCAGAATCATAATCTGAAGAATCTTCACTATTACAGTCACAATCATCCGTGTAATCTTCAGTTAGAATTACTACCATCTGAGCTACAATCACTAGATACTTCATCTAGTACTAAGCATGACTCAATGTGTTGCATTATATTTTGAACATTAATAAATAATTCATTGTCCTCTAAAGCAAATAAGTTAATAATATTGAACTGGTCATTCACAAGTTGTAATTATGTCCTAATACCCTCATCTCCTAATATTTCATAATATTTTCCAGAAAGGCTAATCAAAATCAATTGTTGAACTCCAACATACCCTAATTTATGCATGTATTCATTAATCATATCTATAAAATATAAGAGATCAACATCATGACATTTCCATGTGAATAAGCTTTCTTGAATATACAAGTTGTGGCTCCCTCATCCAGTCACCACCGTAGTGAAAGATCAAGTCAATCTTAACCATGTTTAATAACCTGTAATCAACAAACAAAAGTACAATTTAATAATATTTAAACAGGAAAGAAGAACAAAAATAGAAAGAAAAGAACAAGAGCAAAACCAGAAAAGTAGCACAACTAAACAAAAATATGGACACAAAACCTAAATCATATGAATACAAAATCAGAAAAGAATCACAATAATAAAATAGCAAATAAGCAGAGTCAAGTCCCACAATCCATTTAATAACCCACGACTTTAAAAAAGAAAGTAAACAGTGTATTCAAGTTCAACTGCCTTCAATTTGGTTCAGTAGCATAACTTTTGCAAGAACTTCACCTTTGCCATATTACCAATATGCATCTCTGCAACACATTACATCTAAAGTGGCTTAGGGAACCTCATATCTCACAGATAGTACTCTTGGATGAATGTGGGTAGGATGTTGAAGGTTAATGGGACAAATGAGTACTTTGTTTTTAGTATCCTAGAGGTGTAGATGCACGAGGAATCGTTACGATGAGGAGTATGCTTAGAAGGGAAGTTTTAGGCTTAGCTTCACAATAAAAAATAGAAAATAAGAATAGTCAAGTCCCACAATCCATTAAATAACCCAGGGTTTTAAAAGAAATAGGAAACAGTAGGGTCCTACTTCTTTTATGAACGGAGAAACAAGTATGAGTTGGGACCATATTCAATAAAGCCTAAAAACTATTACATTAAAAAACAGTCAAGTCCCACTTCTCTATAACTGTTGAGCCACATGTATATAAAATTGGGGACTACATTCCAAAGTTTTAATAAACAAATCAAAGAAATCCATGACAATCACATTTTGAAAATTTATAACCAATAAAGAAACAAGAAATGTTGGGACCACAATCCATTGAATCCCTAAACCATCTGCCCACTTTTGAACCTACAATCACAAATGTACAATTCCATATATAAACCCTAAACCACCAATCCCTGCCCTTTTTTTAACATGGGACTAGGAATCCTATTGAAATTAAGACATCATTATAGCAAATTCATATTCCTTACATATGCAATATTCAAAAAGTATCAAACGAACAGTGAGAAGCAACAAAATCTTAATATCAGACAACGAATGCAAACAACATAAAGAGAAATCGGCACATGCAAACAACAAAATTAACGGAAAACATAATATAAAGCTCAAAACACACATATCAACACACATTTGTAAATTTTAGCACATACCCGAAACCCTAAAACGAAAACACAACTCAAAAAATCCTAAATCAGTTAAATCAAAACCTTTAGACAATAATAAAAAGCAATGTTACAAAAAAACAAATAAAATAAGCACAATCAACGAAATTAGGGGAGAAAACTGCATCTATGTGAAGGCGAATAATAGAGAGAGAGGCTCTGGCGACAAAAACATGCGATTATAGAGAGAAAGCAGTCGCAGCACTTCCATGGCCTCGCCGGCCGGCGGCCAGCCATCTTTACCGGCTGGTCAGCCTCCCCTCACCTCTGCCCAACCTCCTACAACAACTAACAACAATCCCCAACCTTCAAATCCCACAAACGACAATCCACAAGCCATGAATTACGCAAAAGCAGTGAAACCTACTTCGATAAATACTGCCATGCAGAATCGCACTGCATCAGTTGAACCAATTGCACTTAGACGAGCCAAAGTATTTCAAGGACAACTAACGGTGTGCTTTACAAAAGTAGAAGTTGAACGTATGAATGTTCTTGAAGGACTACAATATGCAGTCGTGTGTAAATTTTCATATGAATGGCCTGAGCTTAAATGAATTACGTCGCATTGTGCCTATTCAATGTGGAATCAAGGGTGAGTGTAATATTGGATACTTACGTGATAGGCATGTATTGATAAGATTAACATTATGGCAAGATTTTGTTGAATTTACGTCGAAAGGTATTTATTATGTTAAGGACAAGTATGGAGAGGAATACCAGTTGAGAACTTTGATATATGATGCTAAGTTTAAGGCAGGAGAGGAGACACCAAAGGTGGTGGCTTGGATCTCCTTTCTAAACTTGTTGCCAACTTATTTTGTGAAGGAATGTTTGTTCTCACTAGCATCTGCAGTAGGTAAGACTAGACCTAGCTGTGCTCGTGTGAAAGTGCTAGTTGACTTATTGGCTGATCTCCCTAAGAAGGTGCGTATGGACATCGTTAATGAAGACACTGGTGATGTAAGAACAGAATGGGTGAATATTAAATGTGATTATTTACCTAAATACTGTAAGGAATGCAAATTACAAGGGCATGATATGATGGAGTGTTGGAGATTGCATCCTGAACTTATGGCTAATAAGAAGGAAGACCAGCAGGTAGATAATGGAGGAAAGGTTGATGGGAATAAAGATAAAGGCAATAATGCTGCTCCTTTGATGATCTTATCAAGTGGTAGAGTTGTGGGCAATGTTGGTGCTCAATGGAAGGAAGTGAGGGATAAACGAGTACAAGGTAAAGACAAACAATCTGGTGAAGGTGTTAAAACTGGGCAGCAAATTATACCTGTAGAGAAACAAACTAATGTAGGTCCTCAACAGGTGCAGACAACTAATAAGTTTGCTTTGTTGGAAATTAAAAACAGTGAGGATAATGAGAACAAGAAATTGGTAGTAGTAGAGGAAGATGCTGCACAAAGAGATGTGACAAAACACAATGACAATGGGAATTTGAATCCTGCAGCACCAGAATTTGTTCCTAGATCACCTGGGAATGACAAAAGGAGAAAGGGGGATAACAAAAATGCAGCTGTAGGCAAACAAAATTTGAATGCTGTATTTCCAGCTGGCAGTTCCAATCCAGCAGGGATTAGTAAACAAAGAGAGAGGGATGAAGCAAAAAGCAAGGAGGAAAAGGCTGCTGACCAACAAGCTAAGGAGTCTACTGCACAGTGGGTTCAAAGGGCTTTCACTGGAAACATGGTGGCAACTAATACTTCAGTACAGGATATCCCATCTCAGGATACTAGAGTGGGATCAGAACTAGCTAAGAATATTGAAAAAGACAACATTGTAGATACAGATTTTGAAATATTTCAAGCTAATGAGAAAGTTAATTGGAAAGGAGGCAGGTTATGGTCTGAGCAAGCAGAGGAGGATCCAGATGATGGAGTCATTCCAGCTGTGATGCATAGTGAAGAGGAAAATGGTGGAGATGCAATTGAAGAGGAAGATCAAAGTGTTAATGGCAAAGCCAAGGTTACTGGAACTACTGAAGAACATGGATTAAACAATAATGTAGGTGATGTCAATGGGGAGCAGGGTAACAAAGAGGAACAGAATAACAAAGAGGAGAATATCATAGATACTGTGGACATTAAAGGGGTAGATATCAATGCTATTGATCTAGGAGGAACTGAGCTGCTTATTATAAAAGAGTCTGGTGCTACTTCAAAAACAAAGAATAGCAATACTGCAGCAAGAGCATCAGGAGATATCATGCCAGTAAATCTACTGCAATTACAGAATCAGAAAGAGGCAGATGAACAGGCTGTGATACACAATAAATCTAATACCAATATCCTACCTACAGATGATGTCAAAGAGATAGATGGTGATGCAGGAGCAGACAAGGATTTAGATGAAGAGTCTACAACTCAGAATTTTCTTAATGTGGCCAAACAAGGGGATCTTTCTCCTAGACATATCGACCAGGTTAAATCTGCAACTAGGGGCAGGAAAAAACAAGTCAAAGATACCTCAACTGCTCCAGCAGGAGGGGTTCAAACAAGAAGAACATTGTCCAAATCCCTCAATCAATAATGGATGCCATTATATGGAATGTCAGGTCAGTGAACACAAATTCAGTGCTTTTGAAAGACTGATTACTATGGCATAGACAACATCATTTTGAGTTTATATTATGGAATTTTGGAACCAATGCAACCAGTTCTAGCAAATGGAAAAGGTATAGGAGCAGAAAGGTTTTGGCTTTTCATGGCAGTTGGTTTAATGTTTCAAATAAAAATTAGACATTCATTGATAAGTGTTTAGGTTACTATTTCTGTACAACATGGTGCAATAACTGACTTTGAAATTGTTTCACACTAAAAACTCATGCGAATTGCTTTTCTAACATTGGCGTATGCAAAATGTGAATGCAAATT